GTGCCAATCGCACTGCCTCTGACACACCCATCCCGATTACCCCAGTCACTGAATCAATAATCCACCTCATAGAGGATCTTCCCCTCTTGTGCCGTCCTTCCACCCTCCCAAGCATGATGTCCCTCTCCAAGGACCTGTCCCTCCTTACAACATGTCCAAAGTATGTCAGATGAAGCCCCAGAATCCTTGCCTCCAAGGAGCAGCCTGGTTTAACCCTCTCCAGGATGAATCTGTTTGTTTTCCTAGCAGTCCATGGTACCCTCAATACTCTTCTCCAGCACCACAGCTCAAAGGCATCAATTCTCCTTCTATTCTTCCTAGTCATTGTCCAACTCTCTGATGCATAACAAGTGATTGCAAAGACCATAGCCTATATCAGACGCACCTTAGTCTCCAGAGTGACACCACAGCTCTTCAGTACCCTGGAGAGGTCCCTAATAGCAGGCTTTCCCATCACAATATGTCTTTTGATTTCCTGGCTACTGGTGCCAAGAGTGTTAACAATCTCAATCTCTTCACCATCCATCCTGATGCTGCCAATTGGTCCAGTAGTGAGAATCTTTGTCTTCTTGACATTGAATCTCAACCCATACTGAAGGCTGCAGTCTTTGACCCTCTGCAAGCAGGGTTGTGTCACCTGCATAACGTAGACTGTTAATAGATCTTCCACCAATCCTGACACCACACTTTTCCTCATAGAGCCCAGCCTCTCAGATAATCTGTTCTGCATACAGGTTGAAAAGGTATGGAGATAGGACACATCCCTGGCGTACACCTTTCCCAATTCTGAACTATGCAGTGCTTCCTTGCTCTGTTTTGACGACTGCCTCTTGGTCCAAGTATCTTCAAGTTTCTACACAATCCAGCAATTTCACTGTCAGGTAGAGACCCAAAGGAGAGAAAAACCGAAATCCTGCACATTCATGTTCATTGCAGCACTATGGAAAGAACCTCAATGTCTCCATATTGATGACTGGATAAACAAATTGTGATCTGTGCATAAATGGAAGATTATTTGGTCCACAGGGAGGGAGTTGAAAAACTCAAACTCATTGCTGTTGAGTTGGAACCAGCTCACCACAGACCCTCTAGCGGGTTTCCAAGGCTGGAAATCACACAGGAGGGGACTGTCCGTCTTTCTCCCTCACAGTCGCTGGTGGATTCGAACCACCAGATGAGTGGCCTTTGGGTATGGACTATGTCGCCAGAATTCTCTAAATAGATAATACACACCTATTAACAAGGGTGATAGGAAAGGCAATATACAATATAGGAATGATTAACAAAATATCACTAAAGAAAGGCAAAATGGGGGGCGGTTAGAAAAAGTACAATTATATAGTGATTGTCGTTATGTGCTGTCCAGTCACCTGTGACTTAGTGACCCTATGTACACCACCTCTAAATCCTGCCCTATCCTAAGCCAGTCTCACTGACTCTGACACACCTAATCCCATCGCCACAGCTGTTGTGTCAATCCACCTCATCCAGGATCTTCCTCTCCTACATGGTCCCTCTACCTTTCCAAGCATGGATGTCCTTCTCCAAGGATTGGCCCCTTCTGGCCATGTGCCCAAAGTGTATGAGACAGAGTTTAAAAAGTCCTAGCCTCTACACCAAGGAGAAACTTGGTTTCATCTTCTCTAAGAACTATTTGTTTTCTTGGAGGTCATGGTATGTATGTTCAATGCTCTTCTCCAGCACAACTCAAGGGTATCAATTCTTCTGTCATCCCTAGTCATTGCCCAGCTCTCTGATCCATACCATATAATTGCGAAGACCATGGCCTGAATCAGGCGCACCCTAGTCTCTAGACTGACATCATTGCTCTCCAGTACTCTGGAGAAGTTCTTGACAGATTTTCCCTAGTGTAATTTGTCTTTTGATTTTCTGATTGCTGGTGCCAAGTTGATTGTAGAGCACAGCAAGGTGAAATTGTTAACAACCTCAATCTCTTCTTCCATCTATCTATCATAGTGCTGCCAATTAGCCCAGTGGTAAGAATCCTTTGGTAACATAGAAATTAATGCTATAGAATAACGTGATGAATAGTTGAATGAAAAATCAATTTGTTTTGTAATCTTTCACCCAAATTTCATTTTTTTAAAAAACCTAACAAAAAAAGAACTAAAATATTAAGTCTTAGAGACATGTAAGTGAAAGAATCTACTCATAAAAGGCCACGTATTACAGGACTCCATTTATGTACAAAGTGTTCTGTACAGAGAGAGGCTATTAGAGTTTTCTACAAAAGTAGATTAGCAGTTGCCAGAGGTGGATAGATTTCTTTCTAGGGTGATGAAAATGTTCTGGAATTAGATAGTTGGTGATGCTTCCAGAGCTCTGTGAACATGTGAAAAACCTCTGAATTGTACATGTAAAGTAGGCTAACAAAGCACACCCCACAGGCAGAGTTCCCTGTGTCCATCCTGTCCAATGTCAGCCTCATAAGAAGTGAAGCGTATCTGGAAACTTCTTAGAGAGAACACAGATGGGACAAAGGTTAAGAGAAGTGTTTCCAAGAGAACTTCCAGCCTGTACAAAAGGCTGACAAAACCCTTTCATTTGCTGTTACGAGCCATCCAGTTGGAACTGACTCAGAGCTGACCCTCCATGAATTTTCAGAGGCTGTAAATCCCACAGGAGATTTCCCATCTTTTTCCCCATGGAGCTGGCTGGTTGAGTCAAAGAGCATGCCTCTGGGTTGGTACCACTAGGCCATCAGAGCTCCCTGACACGTCTTCTGGGTCTTGTTCATTCAAATCCAGTTGAAGATCTAAGCTAGTAGTTTTCAATGGGGACAAATAGCAGCTAGTAGTTTTCAACAGGGACAACTACGTCTCCCAAGGGGACATCTGATAATATCTGGAGGTATTTTTTGATTGCCATTACGGGCAGGAGGAGAGCTTTAGTGGGTGAGGCCAGGGATGCTGCTGTATGACAGGTCCCTACATCAGCCCAAAATGTCTACAGTGCTGAGGTTGAGAACCCCTGAACTAATGTAATGACGGGTAATTTACTTTAAAATTCATGCTTTTATCACAAACCAAGCCCTCTTTGGTAGTTGTTGTTACATAATGTGGAGTCGGAACTGACTCATAGCTGACTCTCCAGTAGGTTCAAGAGGCAGTAAATAGTATGAGAGGAGTTTGCCCCATCTTTCTTCTGCAGAGCAGCTGGTGGATTCAAACTGTGGGCCTGTCAGGTTGGCAGTGGAACCCCTTACCATTAGGTCACTAGAGTTTCCTATCTGATAGTATGAACAAATTATGTCCTAACTGCTCCAAACAGTCGAGTGTACCCAAGCCTGCATCCCCAGCACAGCCCAGCCCCAGGCGCACAGAGGCAAACCTATCACAGACAAGCACCCCAGGCTTCTTTGGGCTCCGAGCTGTGCAAACCTAAGAGAGTCAGGGATAACATTCCTTTTAACCTCTCTTCACAAACCAGGTCTGAATTAACGAATGACACTTTCAAAGGGACACTTACTGAGTTTCATCCTTAGACTGCTAAAAGCTTTCTTGAAATGCATTCTTCCTTAAAATACTTACCAGTAAAGGACACGAGATGTGTATTAAGAAGTGGACATTTTTTCCTCACATAAGGAAACACAATATAATTTTAAATAGTAAAAGGCTGTTGACTATGTGCAGTGCTGATACATGCTCTGATCCAAAGCACAGATATATATCCATGAGTAAATCCCACCTTTCCCCACATGGCTCCTGCAAGCGCAGTGGGCCAATGCGACAAATATCATTCCAACTCCAGGACCTATTTAGTACTTCAAGTAAACTAGCTGTCTTCTTTCGAAAATACTTCAAGAAGATTACAGACTTAGAAACTCTCTGGAACATTCTACTTTGTCCTCCAGGGTCACTGTGAGATAAGATCAATTTTGATGGCAATAGGTCATATCACTTTGGTGTAGAATTGTCTATAATTCTCAAAGCTAAACAGATCCATGTAAATGTTATCTTTTTTTTCTGGAAAAATGAGACCATACTCTGTTTACCATATTACTACTTCCTTTTTCCATTTGCTGTTAAGTACCGTCAAGATGAAACTGACTCAGAGCTGACCCTCCGCCGGGTTTTCAGAGGGGCAGTAAATTGCACAGGAGGCAAATTGTGCATCTTTCTCCTGCAGAGCAGCTGGGAGATTCGAACCACATGCGTCTGGGTTGACAGAGCAACCCCTGGCCACCAGAACTCCTTTTACCCATTTAGTAATATACATATTCTCTATTTCCCCCACAGCTCCACTGTCCTTCTGCAGGCAGCATGCCATTCAATTGTATGGCTCTACTCTTCTTTTTCAAATCTTCTCCTGTTGGGCATCTGAACTGCCTTCAGTGTTTTGCTACTGTACACAATTCTTTATACCCCGCGCCTTTCTGCAGGTGCTTGATTTTATTCACTGCTAATCTACCCTCCTTGAAGTCTCATGATTACTCACCTGCCACCAGTTAGTTGTCCATCAAAGTTGTCTCTCCACCCTGGGTGACTGCAGAATTGCTCTATGAGTCACTGCTCCAGGAAGGGGGCTCCACCTCAGTACCCTTGCAGCATGGAGCCAGACCATGGGCCCCAAGATGGAAATATTCTCCACTGAAGACTGATCCCATGCACTAATTAAGCCTGAGTTGTAAACCAACAACTGAGTAATACTCTATACCCAGTGTTAGCTCTATTTCAAATCTACCTCTAATCCAACCCCATCCATTTGGATAGAAACCTGGCTTAAAACACCTGGCAGGCCATTTTTTGCTAAAATGCCATGTGGTGAAGGAAAACTTCGGCCTGGCCACCTAATTTAGGGCAAATCTACTGATGAACATGGCTGTGCCCACACCTTATTCCTAGCTGGAATGGTGTTCCTCCCCCTTCCAATCTCAGGGATAAACTCCAGCCCACCTCTCTCCAAAGCTGAGGTTGCACTGTGCGCCTGGGTGCTTGTGGGTTTGCCAACAAAGAAGAAAACCCCTGAGAGGAACTTACATAGAAATGAAAATGCAAGAAGTGTGCTAACGCTCTGGGGGCCACGCTGGGGAAGGTGGCCAGGAGCGTCTGCAGGTAGACCTCCAGATCCTTCTCCCTCTTCTCCACCAAGGTCTTCGAGTTCTTCCCAATTATCTTCTTGGGTGGTAACAGGTTTTTATCAATCTTCTTCTCTGCAACAAGCTGTATGGAAACGCAAGCTTGTCAACTACAGGCCAAGAGATGCTGGCTGGGGTGTGAGGCAGGCAGGCTGAGGATGGGGGTTTGTCACAGCTTCCACCTTCCCTCCCAAAAACATTATCGAGCTGTGCAATCTGGGAAATGAACTCTTCAAATCCAACTGCTATTGAAATACCAACAAAATGAGGAACTCCATCTAGACTTTCTGGAGACATCCAGAAAAGGAGCACTTTTGGGTCTTAAAGCTGTCACCTTTAAACCCCGAGTAAAAACCAAGCAATGTGGTGGCCTCGCTCTCTTTAAAAGGCTTCCACTGCACAGGACCCAGAAGAAGGCAACTCTCTCTCTAAAAGCAAAGAAAGAAATGAAACCATGGCCAAATATTAATGTATGGGCTTTGGAACAGCTAGAGTTAGATGGAACAAGTTCAAACCTGTCCCCTCTTTGGGAAACTGCCCCATCATCTCACATTAAGTGAGGTCTGCCAATCTCAAAAAATAAAGTTCACATTTGCTCTGCACAGCCTGGAGTTGAATTCCTTGGGTCTGCCAGCTCTTTTGCCATTTACATCAACAAACTGGTTTATTCAAGAAAGGAACAACAGGCATGGGGCCTGTTTTATCATAAAACTACTACGTGGCACGATGGAAACCTGGTGTAAGAGCCCCAGCGTCCTGGAGATACAGGTGCCCAGCTCTTCAGGGTTACCTTTTCATGCAGGTCATGGAAGTTGCTGTAGCGGTGCTTGACTGTCCACTCATGGTTGCCATCAGTGACTTGTATTATATAAACCTGAAAGGGAAAACCAACAGTTCTTGTGGCAAGGGGAGGCAGCCAGCTAGAAGGACCTTCCGCTCCCCTGCATAACAGCTACAGGGCACAGGGACCTTGCAGCCAGAGTCAGGTTGCTCCTACCTACCAGCCTCTGCACCCGAGCCTTGGTGAGCCGCAGGGCCTGCTCTCAGCCCTAGCACCAGGGCTAGCAGACACATGGGACAAGCCTGTGGCTCCATCCACAATGGGATGTGAGGGATAGCTCTAATCTGTCAAGCCACCTCTTTTATCTCTTGCCTCCTCCAGCTAGTTCAAAGCCCAGTTTAACTTGAGCTTCAGGCAAGGGTACCCTTTCCCAAGGAAGCAGAACAGGGCCAGGCCTGGCAGAGCCACCTTTTCCATTGTACTTCTTCCCAGGTGCCCTGACTACATCCTGGAAGTGAGTCTTCTTTCCAGCCTTTTTAACTGTTTCATGGCTGTGTTTACTGCTGCTGAGCCAGGAGTCAAGGCTATATAAAGCCAAGGGGGAAGACACAGGACAACAAGCCCTCACAAGAAGCAATATAGCTTAGTGAGGAAGGATATGGGCTGTGCAGAGAAGAAGACCCAGGTTCAAAACCGGATTCCGCCATTCACTGGCGGTGGGACAATATGCAAGTGACTACCTCTTTGAGCTTCAGTTCCTCTATCTTTGTGTGTGTGTGTGTGTGTGTACCCTCAAATTGGATCTCACTGATACAGGAGGAGATTGTCCCTCCTTCTCCAGCACATCATCTGGTGGATTCGAACCGCGTACCTCTAGGATTGCAGTGCAGCTTCTTGCCGCTAAGTTCCCCTATCTCAAATCTGATAGGTTTAAGGATTAAATGGAGTCTCTGGTTAGTGCAACTTGTCAGCATGCATAGCTGATAACTGCAAGGCTAAGAGGGTGGGAGTCCAACTCTACCCGGAGGTGCCCCAGAAAAAAGGGCTTAAGATCTACTGCTGAAAAACCAGTCACTGTAGATTTCTACCCTGATGGTCACAGGGTCACCAGGGGTCAGAGTCAAACAAGATAATGCATGTGAAGTACGTAGTGCAGTGTTCACATGTAACGTAGTGCAGTGTTCACACGTAACAAGTGTTTTTTAAAAAACGGAGGAGTTAGTAATATTCAGATCTGCACACCCAGAGACAAATGAAGGTGGGATTAGCCCGGAATGGCTTCTATCTGAAAGAGGGGCTCAATCCTGAAGAAACAAGGGCTGACGGGGCTAAGAGTTTTTTATCTGCGTGGACTGTCCTGAATGCAGCCCATGAGTGATGGCCAGTCGTCACAGCTTGCAGAGCTCACCATTCACCTGGAGCTGGCCTCCAGGTCCTCTTTCCCGCCCCTCTGCAGCACACACGGAAGGGGGAGGAGAAAATCACCAGCTCCACCAAAGCCCAGAGAAGCAGCCATTTCTCCAGGGCTGGAGCCTGTTGCTCAAGGACCCGCCCCCAGCCCCTCTTCCCATTCGGGCAGCTTCTCTTCTCCTCCCCCCAAGAAAACCCGAAAGATCTAGAAGAATAGCCCCCAGGAGGGGGTTAGGATAGGGGCCAAGGGGGTGGAGCAACGAGGAAAGGGTAGGGCCACCCCTTTCTACTTTCCATCCTTTGGGAACAAAGAACAGGAGCCCGGGAGGTGCTCGGTGCACCCCCACCCCAGGACCAGTCCCTGCCAGGCAATCTGCCAGGTGTTCATACTCCAAAAGGAACACCATCCAAGCCTACACCCCCCATTTTCTGCCTTCACCTCCCCCATAGTCTACAGGGTGCGTGCGTGCGTGCGCAATTCACTGCTTCCTTCTCATCGCAGCTTAAAGAGATGAAGCCCTTTAAGATTCCAGGGGTTCTGGACTTCAGCTCTTAGCCCTGATTCCCCTATTTCTGCACCCCATTTTTATCTCACGAGACCCCCCCAGAGCCTGGAACCCCAGATCCTCCCCACTTACCTATCATCACACATCTTCCCCTCTGCCCCACCTCTTTCTTTCCAAAGGATGCCCTGATCGATCTTCTTCCCAAGATTCCACTCATCAGTCTCCCCCTCCCCAGTCCTTCTCCTCCAGGACCCTGTGGATCCGCCATCACGCCAGCGAAGTCCGTGCTCCCCTCCAGGCCTGAAAGCTCTAGAAGGGCCTCCGCCCCATCCTGGGGCCCCTCCCCAAACCCCCCTTATTCCCTGATTGCTCCCAACGCGAACCTCCATTTCCAATCGCGCATCTTTTTCTCAAACCCTCTCTGCAGGCCCTGCCCCCGTACCTCTCTCCCTCAGGACCCTCTGGATCTGGGGAGTCTGCACCATCTCCCCAGATCTGCTCATCCCAGGCCCCCTCCTCTCAATCGCAGATCCCTCTACCCCCGCCTCTTCGCCCTGCGGAGCGCAGACCACTTCCCCAGTCCCCGCGGGGAGGTCTCCGGGCTGCAGACACCACCCACGGTTCGGGCGCTCGCGTCCCCCCAAGCACACCGTGTACGTGTCCACAAGCTCGGAACCCACGACGCGCGCCTCCTTGGCCGGCTCGGCCTCCCGATCGGATCCGAAGCTGCGCGCCGCCGCCATCTCTCGGTCTCCACCGCCGCCGCCGCCCGGCGCAGACTGGCAGCAGCAGGAGGCGGGGTCAGCGTCCCACCGCCCCTCGGGCTCCGCCGCCCCCCGCCCCTACCAGGCGCCGCGCCGCCATCTTAGCCTGGCTGCCTGCTAAAGTCTAGGTCCCGCCCCGGCTCCGCCCACATCCCGCCCCGGCTCCTCCCTCAAGCGTGATTGCCAGCAGCCCTGAAGCTCCGCGCGTGCGCATGATGCTCGAGCTGGTTCGATTGCGTAATCGGTATCTGCTTTCTACCGCCTGCTTCGCTCTGCACGGCTCCAGCGATTCGGGGAAACTGAGGCTCCGGGCGGGAGTATCTCTGAGCTTTGCCCTTCAGTCCCTGGGAAAGAAAGACTGAAGGCTCCGCGCCTTCTGTGCTACCCGAAGCAAATAATTGTTCCATCCAGCTTCAATTTCCGCTTCTGGGAAAAGGGGTGCAAGATCCCTTCTCACCTGGCCTTTGGGCTCATTCTTACTAGGATTGGAGCGGAAGCTGGTTAAAGGGGAAGGTGCGCACTTAGCAGGGCCGAGCTGACTCCAGGTCTCCTCCCTGAGCTAGGCGATCTCTTTGTTCTCTGGGGAGACTCGAGTGGGTTAATCAAGCCGTTTCAGCCATGCTGGAGGCAGAGAGCCTCTGAATGAAGGCAGGGAGTAGAGTAGGGATAAGGAAAGGTATATATTGGCCACTATATCCAAGACCTCCAGGTGGTGTCCTGACAGTTCTAGAGAGAATTGACTGACCCAGAACGGGGCTACAGTACTGGAATGAGAGAGCCCAGGTCCAGAGAGGCAGCCCTGGAAGGAAGACAGACCTTGAAGAGAGGCTAGCTGGAGCCTAGAAGGAGGGTAGAGAGGGAACCAGCCTGGCAAAGGCATCTCTGTTTGTTAATTGACTATGTAGCTTACCCAAGCCCAAAGCTCCCACTGTTTTCCTTGGACAGAGAAGTCTGAGGCAGGTCTCCTCAGGCCCCCATGTATGAAGGACTCCAGACTACCACTCTAGAACGGATTAGCACTTACCCCCCTCCTTGCTTACTCCCTCTGTCCCAGGGATACTTGGTCTAAGGCCGGTGCTGTCTAGTCACTCAGACCTTGGGCAATTTGCCACCCTTCTGGAACCCTCAGTTTTCTTATCTGAAAAGTGAGAATAATAATGACCCCTTCACTAATTGGATAGGAAGTCCAGCTGTCTGTGTGGCCTCCTGGCCTGGTCTCACGTTTTCATTCATTTAAGAAACCTTTCTAAAGAGTCCCTGGGGACTGTAGGGTGGGGGTGGGGGTGCAGAGGAGGAGAACTGTGATTCTTGCAACCTTTCCTCTGCTCCTTGCCCAGAGCAAAGGACGCAGGGACTGACCAGCCTGAGATCACTAAGGCTAGGGGAGGGACTGCTGCACACAGGGGTGGGCTTTGCCCCTCCTGGTGGGAATGCGGTGAGGCAGGGCTATATAAGCCGAGGCTGAGGCAGCTGACAACCCCAGTAGCCTGTCTGCTAGCAGCCAGCATGGATGACATCTACAAGGCCGCGGTGAGGCACGGGGCTGGGGAGCTGGACCTACTGGGAGCTCACTTAGCTCTCAGTTAGGGATGGAGGATAAGGTTGCCTCAGGGAGGTGGTGGGGACTCAGGAGAAGCCCTGAGTGCTATCCCTACATGCCTCTTCCCTCAAGGGGACAGTGGGTCTGGTGTCTGAGGCAGACAAAGGGATGAAGGGGTTCAGGGTGTGGGAGAGAGTTGTCAGGTGAGGAAGTTGCCACTTTAGTGTCATATTTTCCCTTCTGTCACCAAGTGTCTTTTCTGTGTCACTGTCTTTCATCTGTGTGTGTGTGTATATATATTGTTTCCTCTCTTGGTCTCTGTCCCTTTCCCCCCTATCTCTCTCTAGCCTCTGCCAGTGTCTTCTCATCTCATCATTTCTGTTCCTCATCTCTGTTTCTTATACACTCTCAGTCCCCCAGCATCTCAGCCCCTGTAACCCTATGACTGACTGAAGATAGTTTGAACAGTGATGGGGTACTGGGGAAAATGGTTGTGAGGAAGGGGCTACAAAATCCAGATCCCGGGCTGGGAGGTGCTTTAGAGTTTGAAGCAGGGAAGGACAGGGCATGAGGGAGATTTAAGGAAGAGGGAAGGCACACAGAACCAAGGGCCCAGGCACCATCTGACCTGGCAGGTTCAGTGCTCAGTGGCTTAGCTGGGGGTGAGGATGAGAGAGGACTGCAGAGTGGTCACTGCAAGTCCCTGTGGCTTTCTTGGAGGGCTGGGAGCTTCAGATGCTATTCCACCTAGGGGATGGTGACCCCCTTACCTTACAGTTAAGGACATGCTGGTATAAGCAGCTGTCCTCAAGGGAACCCCTCCCTAGTCCCCAGAGCGGGGCCCAGTCCTGGGCAGGGAGGGGCTGCAGCTGGCTCAGGGTGCTTCTGCCTGTCCTGAGGACTCTGTGAGGCTGGGGGAGCCGGCCCTCCGCCCTGTGTCCATACAAGGCCTGGCGGGGCTAAGGACTAATTTTGGCTTCTGAGGCGGCACCAGCCGGCCAGGGGGCCAGATAACGCTGCTCCACCCCCCTGCGTGCCAGAGTCGCAGAACAATCACCAGGTTTAACTTTGTCACCAGTTAAAAATAGCACCATGGCCAGCCACCCTGGTCAGGTTACAGCGGGTGGGCAAAGCCACGTTGGTTTTATTGTCCCAACCTGAGAGACAGCTGTCCCTCAGGGCCATCCAGCTTGGGTTTCATCAGCAGAGCAGAGAGAGCAATGAGTGGTCACTAGCTATTGTTACTCAGGGTCACCTTGACCGTGGAGAGGGTGCCCTGGCCCTTGACACCCTGAGTGACATCAGCTGAGTGACCTCAGGACTTGGGGGGTGGGTCAGGGAAGGAGTACTGGGACCTCTGTTCTATGACCCAGGATAAGCCTGCCTGCTCTCAGCCTCAGTCTCCCACCTGCGGATGGTGGCCGAGGCCTGAGTCTGAGTGCTGGAATCCTCTTTTCTAGGTAGAACAGCTGACAGAAGAACAGAAAAATGGTGAGTTTTGCACAAGGAAGGATCAACAAGGCTGAGCAAAGGAAATATGGGGACCCTTTATCGGGAGAGGTCCAAGGCTGGAGGCCACAGGCTGGGCCACTCTCAGTGTGACTTCTAGGCCTTAGAGGGAGGTGGGCAGGTTGGCATGTGGCCCTGGGCATCTGCCCTTCCACATCCTGGCAGCTGAGCCCTAGCTGCTCTGTCCTGTTTCCCCACCCCACCCTGCCACCGGACACAGAGTTCAAGGCAGCCTTTGACATCTTCGTGCTGGGCGCTGAGGATGGCTGCATCAGCACCAAGGAGCTGGGCAAGGTGATGAGGATGCTGGGCCAGAACCCCACGCCCGAGGAGCTGCAGGAAATGATTGACGAGGTGGATGAAGATGGTGAGCCCCCCATCCTTCCAGACCTCCTTTCCAGCATCCCTCATGCATACCCCCAGCTTGTTGGGCCCTTGAGCCTTGCCTCTGCCCATTCTGCATTGGTGCCACTGAAGGGGCTACTTGTTCTGTTCGACCCTCGGTCATCCCATCCAAAAAGTGAGCATAATGTACCCACTTCTCCCTCAGAGCTGATGTGCAATGAGCACACCAGGGTCTGTTGTCAAGGATGGTGCCCGTAGTTTAGGCTGTCCTCCTCTCATGGCTGTCTTGCCACCCACCCCCAGGCAGCGGCACAGTGGACTTCGATGAGTTCTTGGTGATGATGGTTCGGTGCATGAAGGATGACAGCAAAGGGAAGTCTGAGGAGGAGCTGTCTGATCTCTTCCGCATGTTTGACAAGTGAGTTTACTTACCCTTGACCCCTGATCCTGACCTCAGCAGAGCTGGGAAAAGGCTCAGAGAGCCTTCTGGTTCCAGGACCTTGGAGTCTCTTGTCTCTGAGTCTGTGTGATGAGAGCGTGGGATGCACCATCTCCCAGTATCTCCTGCTATGTCTCCGGGGTCATGGGTGGAGATGCCCAAGGTCCTCTGTGACCCTGATGGGGACTCTTGAGACCCTCCTGACCCTTCCTGCAGGAATGCGGATGGCTACATTGACCTGGAGGAGCTGAAGATGATGCTGCAGGCCACAGGTGAGACCATCACAGAGGATGACATTGAGGAGCTCATGAAGGACGGGGACAAAAACAATGATGGCCGCATTGACTACGACGGTGAGCGAACCAGTGGGCTGGACCCCTTACCGCCCAGGCCTACACAGCCCCTGCCTCTGACCCACACCTGCCCCTCTCTCCACAGAGTTCCTGGAGTTCATGAAGGGCGTGGAGTAGGAGCTGACCCTCTCAGAGCTTCTGTGTCCATACCGAGTCCAGCGGGGCCTAGGGACGGGGCAGGGGCCAGGCTTCTAAGACCTGACGCTGTCCTCGACCCCTGGCCCTCCCTGTCCTCTCCTCCCCAATCCTATCCTGGGCAATGCAAATAAAGCCTTGCTTCTGGAGGCTGGTATCTGGACTTTTAGGGGGCTGTGGACTCCTGCCAGGGCCCATTCTTGCCCTAGTGACTATCCTGGGCATGCCTACCCTGAGCCTGCAGGCCTCTGCTAAGGATGCTTAGGTAGATAGACTCTGTTCTGTGCCTCCCTGGCTGATGCCCAGGCCCTGTCACCCATGAGTCAGCATCAGGGGTCTCTCATGGCCCAGGAATCTGTATTTCAGCAGGCCTTTGGGGGTCATTACACTGGTCAGGGTCCTCTATTAGTTGTAATACCTGGCTAGGCCATGGATGCCACTTGGCACAGCGGCAGCTCCAGCTCAATGCTGACAGGGGCAAACCTGTCGAGCCACTGGGGAGACCCAGCTGGCCCAGGGCTCCATCTGCTTGCTTCTCCTTCGGATTTTCTACCAGCAATATCAACCCCCAGAGGCTGAAGCTACTTAGCAGGACTTTGGGGCCAGAGAGGTGGGGTCAAGCTGTGTCCTCCCAGCCAAGGGCTCTGCTTGGTGGGCCATCTGAAGGAGTGTGATTTCCAGTCTCTGTGAGCCCAGAAAACAACGTTGGGGGTGCAATAGTTAAAATGCATGGTTGCTAACCTTAAGGTCAGTGATTCAAACCAACCAGCTGCTATTTTGGAAAAAGAAATGGCAAGTAGCTTCTGTAAAGACTTGTTGCCATGGAAACCCTGTAGGGCACTTCTATTCAGTTGTGGCATTACAGATAGTGTCACTATCAGTCAGAATTGACTTGACGGAGATGGTTTTGGTTTTGTGGGTGAGCGCAGAGGGGGTGTCCCTCCAGATGGCCCAGTTTTCCTCCCTGACATGGAGTCAAAGCCCTGGAGCCTGGTGGTTCTCAGCTCAGTGAGGGCGCCCAGCCCAGAGCTACAACAGAACAGTGATGCTGGTCTGGGGGAGCACGAGGCTGCGAGGAAGTGGAGGTGTCAACAGGGCCACTTGCAAGAGGGACAGCTGCCACCGGCACCCAGGCTCCAGCAGAATGCCAACAGCTGTCCTTTCCCCACCCAGCCACCCCTGGGCCTCCCCACCTGTGCTCCCGCCTTGGCATTCCCCAGACAGGCCCGGCGTTCCAGAGAGAGTCTTAGAATTCTAGAGATGCCTCAGGAAGAGGTCGGAGTTACCAGGAGCTGCCTGGTGCCTAGGGAGGCCTGGGGTGGGGGGGTGGGGAGAGGCGTGAGGAGAGGGGTCACCTTAGGCCTGTCCTCTGAGCACTCACAGACACCGAGGGCCATCCCAGGACAGAGACAGCTCAGGGGAGAAGGAAGGGCCATGATGGATGATAGCATTCACACAGTGCACCATTCAGTGGCAAATTCACACAGCCGCTGTGTGCCCAAGGGCCCTGTACTTGACTATTTTGCAGGTCAAATGGTCTGTACTTGACTGTTTTGGAGGTTTGTACTCAGGGGTACAGCAAGAGAAAGGCCTGCTTCTTTAGGGGTCACGACCAAGAAAATCCCACGGGGCTGCTCTCCTCATGAGTCAGCACCAATGGGTTTAGGTTTGGGTTTACATTGTGAAGACCAGGCGCTAATCTTGTGGGATATAGTCAGCTGATGGAGGCAGAGATAGAGGCAAAGGCCAGAGAGGAAGCCTGCACAGTGCTACAGAGGGTGGAGCAGTCTGGGAAGGCCTCCTGGAGGAGGTGACACTGAGCTGAGGTCTGAAGATCCACAGGGAACCAGCTGTGTGAACTGGAGAAACAAGAGTATCCCAGGGAGAAAGGACACCGGGGCCTCTCAGGAGCGGAAAGGCAGCCCCTGAGAGAAGTCGGTAGAGCCTGGTCCTTGGGGAGTTTGGTCAGCATCAGTGGTGAGGGTCTTTCAGGACAAGAGGTGACCTGAGGTGGGGCGGGTGTTGAGGGAGACACCTACCCCTAGGCACAAGTCCAAAGACACCCCAGAAGAGGTACAACATGATGCCATAGGTGCCACAGATAGGTGCCTGGCAGAGGCAGCTGGCAAGCAGTTGAGGTGTCTTGGCTTTGAGCAGTTACTTATCTTGCAATTAAGCACCAGCATCATTTAGAGAGTATCTCTGGCTGCTCAATACCCTCCTCAAGCCATTAGGGAGTTGTGCTGCTCATCCGAAGACCACTCCTCTCTGGCGGTTCAAATCCACCAAAAGGCTCCAAGGGAGAAAGATGGGCAATTTCCTCTTGTACAATGTACAGCACTGGAAACCCAATGGAGAGACAGCTCTGAGTAAGTTCCTACTGCACAGCAATGTGTTTGAGTTTATTTTTTAAGCTCCGGTCTCTGGGTTTTAGAGGAGGGAGGGAGGGATTGGGGTGTGAGAGAGCTCAGAGGCTGATATGAAGTTGGGGTTGCTTCTAGGAGAGAGGCCCTGGGGGTGAGAAGGGTGGAGACAGCTACATGGTTCAGGGCATGTCTGGAACGAGAGCCAACAGGACTTGCTAGAAGATTGGACTTGAGGAATGTGAAAGCAGGGAGCCTGTGACGACTCAGATTTTTGGCCAAGCAACTGCCATTTCCTGTAGTGTGGAAGACAAGGAGAGGGTGTGGGAGTCAGTAGGATCAGCCTTGAGGTATTAAGGAGGGGAAATTCCTTTTTGTTATTTATTATTTGTTTTTATACTTTTGAGATTTTCTTCTGAAATCATTCTAGACTTGCAAAGATAGTGCAAACATGTTGTTGTTGTTATGTGCCATCGAGTTGTTTGCGACTCATAGCGACCCTATGTACAACAGCCCTAAACCCTGCTCTATCCTGTGCCAATCACACTGTCTCTGACACACCCATCCCGATTACCCCAGTCACTGAATCAATCCATCTCATAGAGGGTCTTCCCCTCTTGCGCCATCCTTCCACCTCCCAAGCATGATGTCCCTCTCCAAGGACCTGTCCCTCCTTGCAACATGTCCAAAGTATGTTAGACGAAGCCCCAGAATCCTTGCCTCCAAGGAGTAGCTTGGTTTAACCCTCTCCAGGATGAATCTGCTTGTTTTCTTGGTAGTCCAGGGTGCATTCAATACTCTTCTCCAGCACCACAGCTCAAAGGCATCAATTCTCCTTCTGTCTTCCCTAGTCATTGTCCAACTCTCTGATGCATAACAAGTGATTGCAAAGACCATGGCCTGTATCAGGCACACCTTAGTCTCCAGAGAGACACCGTTGCTCTTGAGTACTTTAGAGAGGTCCCTAACCGCAGACTTTCCCATTGCAATACGTTTTTTATTTCCTGGCTGCTGGTACCAGTACAGAGAATTCCCATTTACACTTAACCCAGTTTCCTCAAGTGTTAATACTGAGTGATCCCAATGTTTTGCTGGCAGAAGGGTGAATGATCAAGAAGGGGAACACCCTGGGGCTCCCTTCACTGGCTGAAGAAGAAGGGGTACCACATGGATCCCTGCTCAGAGGTGGAGACTCCATAGGAGCTGGAAAGGAAGTTCAACCTCAAGGCTTATCCTCCGGAAGCAGCTGGGGGTTCACAGGATGGAACCCAAGGGGTTTTCCTAACGTCTCTGCTCTGGTAATGAGAATCTGGAAGCATCTGTTCTTCCTCCCAGGATCCCACCTGGGATAGGCTGAGAGAATCTTCACATTCACACCTGGCGGCACTTTAAGCACAAGCTTGCACATCGTAGGTGTGCATGGCCATGGGCTCACAAGGCATCTCACTCCCTTTTATATGTCACCTAGTTCTTACTGTTTTGTTGGACCCAGTTCTCTGCATTTCTGGGCTCTGCCAACTTTTGCCTCTTATGTGAAGCCTCCCTAGATTTCTTCCATCAGAGACAATCACCGGAGTATCTCCCATTACCCTTGCTTTTCTGTATTATGGTTTGCTGCCCTGTTGTTGTTGTGTACTATAGAGTTGGAACCAACCCAAAACTGACTCTCCGGCGGGTTTTCAGGGGCAGTTAATTGCAGAGGAGATTACCCATCCTTCTCCCGCAGAGCAACCTGTAACCTCGAACCGCGTGCCTTTGGGATTGCCGTGCAGCTTCTTGCCACTAGGCCACCAGAGTTGTCATCAAATCAACTATGACTCACAGCGACCCTATGAACAACATATCTGAACTCTGTTTTATCTTGGACCATTTTCATAATTTCTGATTGGAACCCATTGCTGCAGTCACTGTTGTCAGTCCGTCTCATTGAAGATCTTTCTCTCTTTCCCTGACCCTCTGACTTTCCAAGCATTAAGTCCCACTCCAGGGAATAGTCTCTGCCTATTTTGGGTCTTGCATACCCAAAGTATGTGAGACCAAGCTTCGCCATCCTTGCCTCCAAGGAGCCCTGGTTTCACTTTCTCCAAGACATACCTCTTTGTTCTTTTAGTAGTCCACGGGATATCCAGGACTTGGCTCTGGAAACCCTTATGAACCTGGAGAAAGGACAAAAGTTATGCAAATATCCACGTCTTTTGTTCATAGGGTTGCCTACGACTTGACAGCACTTAACAACAACAACTACTCAAAGACAGCAATTCTTCTTCTGTCTCCTTAGTCATTGTCCAACTCTCTGATAAATAACAAGTAATTGAAAAGACCGTGGCTTGAATCAGATACACCTTAGTGTTTAAAGTAACATCATTGCTCCTTAACACCATGGAAACTGTTGTTGCCAAAGGTGTTGATTGTGGATCTATGTAAAACAAAATCATTGACAATTTACCCTGTTGTTGCTGTTGTTTGGTGCCATCAGGTTAAGTACAACTCTAGTGACTCTGTGAACAACAGGCTTGAATCCTGAACTATCCATTGCCATCTGTTGTTGCTATGTGCCCTCAAGGCGATTACAATTCACAGCAAGCCTGTGAACAATGAAGCCTGTGAACAATGACTCTGAACTTTGCCCTATCTGGTGCCAACCTCACTGTCTGACACACCTCACTTTCCACTGACTGGCTCTTTTGATCAGCGAGGGGTCAGACACAGACCAACTTCTTTGGAGTCTCCTGCAATTCCTTCTTTGTACACTAGATGGCAGAAAACATCTATGGCTTTTCAAGCTCTGGGACTTTAGGTACTGTCACAGGTTTTCTCCACCTGCTGCTTGCAAACAGGGGTCCTTAAAAATAATCCTAATCCTCAAACTGAGAAATTGAGGTACACAGAGAATGAGGACCTTCCCCCGGCTCTACAACAAACTGACAATAGAGTACAGCTGCTGCCTGTCAGAGGCTGTCTCCATGCTGTGGCCCACCACACCCTGCCCCAGAGGACCCAGGCGTTCCTTGCAGCACTTGTTGGGGGCCAAGCTGAGCCGAGTCCCCCACGGTGGGTTGGCGGGCTAAGGAGTGAGTGGGTCTTGTGCCCACAGCTGGTGGCCACGTGCTGGCCAGAAAATGGCCCCCAGCCCAGGCTCTGTGTTGTTAGGTGCTATCGAGTCGAGTACAACTCATAGTGATCCTATGAACCGCAGGTCTGAACCCCTTCCTATCCTGTGCCATCCTCACACTTCCTACACACTAGAGCCCACTATGTCAGTTACTATGTCAATCCATCTGGTTGAGGGTTTCCTCTCCCTCGCTGACCCTCCACCCTTCCCAACATCATGTCCCTCTCCAAGGAATAATCCCTCCAAACAAGTCCAAAGTATGTGAAGTGAAGCCTCAACATCCTTGCCTCCAAAGAGCAATCCTACTGTACCATGTCCAAGACATGTTTATTTGTTCTTTTGACAGCCCATGGGATGTTCAGTGCTCTCTCCAACATCACAGCTCAAGGGCTTCAATTCTTCTGTCATCCCCATTCATTGTACAATTCTCAGATGCATAGCAAGTGATTGGAAAAAACATGGCCTGAATCAGATGCACCTTAGTCCTCAAACAGACATCATTACTCCTCAATAATTTGGAGAAGTCCCTGACAGCAGACTTTCTAAATGTAACACATCTCCTGATTTCCTGACTGCTTGAACCAAGGGTGTTAACTGTGGATCCAAGTAAGATGAAGTTGTTGATAGTTTCAATCTCTTCTCCATCCATCATGATGCTCCTGTCGGTCTAGTGGTAAGAATATTTGTTTTCTTGACATTGAGATGCATTCCATATTGAAGGCTGCATTCCTCGATGTTCTGTAACAAGTGCTTCAAGTTATCTTCACTTTTAGCAAGATTGTGTCATCTTTATAATGGAGGTTATTATTTATGAGTCTCCCTCTGATCCTGATGCCATGTTCCTCTTCACAGAGTCCAGCTTCTCTAATAATTTGCTCAGCATATAGATTGAACAGGTATGGAGAGAGACTATGAGCCAAAACATGTCCTGAGGGAAACTGAAACAGAGGGATTTCACCTCACCCACTGTGGGCCCAGGATATAATCCCAATCATAACAGTCCCTGAGCAAGCACTGACCACTAATTTGTAATGTCCTGCCACACTCAGGGTAGATGGTTGGCGGCTGGAAGGAGAAGGCTGGAGAAGGGCTTGGTCGGGGTCCAACTGCAGAGCCATAGTCAGGGTGGGCTGCATCCAGCTCCTTACAATCCTGGTCAGAGCTTTCCTGAGGGCTGTGTACATGTATAAGCGAGATGCAGACAGGGCTACGGGGCTCCAAATCTCAGAGCCCTTCTCTGGTTGCCCCCAGAGTGGACCTGCTTCCCTTCTAGAGATGAGAAGAGGAGGAGAGATGGGGCTCCAGTGCCTCTAAAAGCCCCAGAGGCCAGAGGACTTCAGGATACAGCAAGCCTGAGCTGGGCATTTACTCTGTCCACTGAGTAGCCTAGTCCAGGCCCTTCCCTCTCTGTCCACCTCCCTTCCTCCATTTCCTGACCACTCTTTCAAGGCTCAGGCAAGCCCATCTAACAAATACAACCTGCAAAAACTTCTAGATCCTGGGAGCTCCAACTCCAGCAGCTCAAGTTGGAATTTTCTCAACACTAAGGACCTTCGATTCAGAGTGTGCGGTCTAGAACTGGGGCGTGGGGGTGGTTGCTGGGGTGGAGGGAGGGCTGAAGGGCTGTTGGTGGAAGCTATAGGCTGAGAGTGAAAGGGGAGAATCTCCCCACTTGGTAGCAGCTGCGACACTCAACACCTGCTTGGTCCTCTTCTGTGACTCTCCTGGCCTCCTATGCAGGCTCAAGACACAGGGGGTATGGAGATAGATAGAGAGAGAGACAGAGAGAGAGTTTGTTTGTGTGTGTGTGTGTGTATGTGTAAATCACAGGTGTGAGGCCTCTAAGCGAACCCCAATGCTCATGCTGAATTTCTAGGAGGCCTGGATGGCTGAGGAAGGTGGGGCAGTGTTGGGGAGTGGAGGTGGGTAAAGGGAGGAGTCCCTCTTGGTGTGGGGTGAGCCCAGTCGAGTGTCCCTAAGCTGGCTGAGCAAGCTGGGATAGGGCCTGCTTGGTGCTGGGGATGGGGGGTCTGCGGAGCCTGGCGACCAGACAGGGACAGGCCTGGGCGGGGAGGGCTAAGCATTCATCTCTTGCCAATTCCACATCTGTGAAGTGTGTCCAGACCTCAAGCTCCCACCCAGGACTTGGGGTCCCTTGGGTTGGGCGTGTCTTCCCCCAGGCAGTGTGGACCCTGCCAGGATTGCTGGGGGCCTGGCCAAGGCTTCAGGAGGCTAGACCACCTTGGTGTGGGGGATCTGGGCCCTGGGCCAGTTTGAGAGGGTCTCTGGCACTGGAAGGATAGAGCTGCAGAACCAGCAAAACAGAGCCCAGCTAGGCTCCACCCAGCCCCTCAACCTCTGACCTCTGACCTCCTCCCCGTGATCTTCCCTTTGTCACTGTGCCGGAGCTGGAAACCTGAGTCTGGGGACATCCGGGCTGTGCAAACCTCACCTCCATCCCAGCTGGGAAAGTCTCCCCCAGTGGGCAAAAGGTCAGTCAGTTAAAAGACACCGGCAAGGCCAGCGAGGTGGAGGGAGCAGCTGCAGGTGGACAGGGGCCGCTCCCCTCCTTCCACCTCCTCCCGCCTTCCTGGCCCGGGATGGGGTGGAGCCGCTGTCTTATAAATGGCAGGCCTGGTGGCGACAGAGCAAACTGCAACCAGCGACGGGACCAGAGGGCAGCTCCTCAGGCAGCGGGCGGTGGTGCCCTTGGTCTTCCAGCATGGCCCCCTCGGCCTGGGCCATCTGCTGCCTCCTGGGACATCTCTTGCTCTGTGGGGGCAGCCCTGGCCCCAGCCTGCCCCGCCTACGGCTCTCCTACCGAGGTATGGGCCAGCACTCCCTGTTCCTGTAGCCCTGTGCATGATCTTCCCTTCCACTTATGGACACCTGGGCCATCGCCAGCTGGGAGTCCCAAGCAGTCCCTGACCTCCCTGTGCTTCCAGTGGAGGGACTGAGGTCATTCCCTGGACAGCTCTCAGGAAGGAGTTCATGGTCAGAGCTGGGGTGCTCCGGTGGCCAGAGGGAGAAATTTTAGGGTGGAGGGTTGGGGAGGGTCAGTATAGGACCAGTCCTGGGAGACACCACCAGAGTGGGAAGTGGGGAACAGAGACAGGCAAGTGGAAAATCTGAGAGTGGCTGCAGAGAAAGGAACGGAGACAGTTGGAGACCCTGAGAGACCCTGAAGAGAGGCAGGCAGAGAGTGATGACTGAGAGGGTGGTTCTGCAGGACAGTGGGACCACAGCAACATCCTGTCCCTCAGGTCCCCAAGCCCAGGGGAGGGGAGAAACCTTCAACTCCAGAAGTGACCCTAGAGGGGTTCGTCGCCCTGACCCCCCAGAACTGCTGGGTAGATGTCACTATCATCATACCCACATCATACCACGTCCCTTCCAGTGTTAACTTTCCAACCCTCTCTCCAAACTGGAGGCTCATCACAGCCCCGGGAGGATTCTTCTTCTCCTTGTTAGATGTAGTCGAGTTTCAGTATCTGAGAGCTGGACAGTGACTAAGGAATAAGGGAGAATCTAGACTCCCTTTCCCATCCTGGTCTGGGACGTTCCTCCGCCTGTCTATCCTTGCTGAGTTGTGCTGCGCCCATACGGGACCCCTCTGAGTCTGTGGAGGTGGATCTGTTGGAACAGATCCTTGAGACAGAGGCTCCCAAAAGGCTCTCCTTTCATTTTGTAAAACCAGAGAGGTGATTGTCTTGCCCCAGGACCTCAGTTAGAGAAGGCACATAAGCTCGCCCTGGGCAGTCTGAAGGGGAACTGATCCTCGAGAATCTGAGGGGTTGTCTGGACAAAACATTGCTCTGCCCTGGGAGCAGTGATTTCTTTTCGTGGGGAGTGGGAGGATAGTCAGGCTATGACAAGAAAGTCTTAACTAGAGAAAGGTTTTCTCAGGGTGCTGTCAGTCATGGAAGGCTTCCTGGAAGAGGCCTGTTGACAAGCTTTGGGCTTGGAATGGACACTGGGCTCAAGGGTGCTCCCATGAAGTGTGGATATGATATACTAGGGCCGTTCACAGGCCAGCCAGCACCCCATCACCTGCATCACCCTAGCTGAACCCCAAGACCCTTTATTCCTGGTGCCAACATCCTCAGACATCCCTGCCTCCCCTCCTGGGACCTGCAAGAACAGCATCCTTTTCAGCCACAACCCTGAACCTCAGTCTGGAGTTCTCTTGGTCTCTCCTCTACCAGTGTCTTTACTGGTGTCCCTGCTGCTGGGAAATCTCCCCCAGCCTGCTGCCCTGTCCAGCCGAGTCCTCTCAGCTCTCCTGCCCTTTGCCCAGCTTGCTACTGTGATTTCTGCCTGCGGGGCCAGCTCCCCTGTAATGGGTAGGACACAGGTGCAGTGGAAGGGGGCACTGACGGGGATGGAGAGATGAGGCAGGTCTCTTGCTCCCCAGCCCTCAGAAGCTATTTCCTCGGTGCCCTGGAGCTTTTCTGCAGATGAAAACATTTTCCAAATGTGTGTGTTTGGGGCAGGAGTCGGGGGAATGAATACACAACTGGAGCCGCCACCACCCCCTGGCTGAGGAAGTCTCCTGAGCACTGGCCCTGACCTCCCACCCTCTGCTTCCTCCCAGACCTCCTGTCTACCAACCGCTCTGTCCCCTTCTTGGGTCCTGGGGGCCTCCTGGACTTTCAGGCCCTGTTCCTGGATGAGGACCGAGATGGCCTCTTCGTGGGGGGCCGCGACGCTGTCTACTCTGTGGGGCTGAGTCAAGCATGGCCGAAATACTGGGAGGTGAGCTGGGCTGACCGGAATGGGGGCTGGGGAGAGAGAGTCTGTCTGAGACTCTTCCAGTGACTAGGGCACCTCACAACAGGAGGTGGCATGGGGAAACTGAGGCTGTGAGGTCAGGGAAGATCCCTGAGGTCAGCTGGGTTGTGTTTCAGGTTCGGTGGCCACCGCAGGCAGGACAGAGAGAGGAGTGTGTCCGCAAGGGAAGGGACCCTTTGGTGAGTGCTGACCTCTGACACCCCCAGGCCTTGGGGTCCCTTCTCCACATGCCTCTGCTGGGGTGTTTGGACCCACTCTTGGGGGCTTTGGATGCTCTGTGAAGAATGACATGCCCCCAAAGCCATCAGCTAGGCAAGATTGAGCCTGGGCACTGAAGAGATGATGGGCACCCCACTTGCTTAGCCTCACCCCCTTTCCCCCACTAGACCGAGTGTGCCAATTTCGTGCGAGTACTGAAGCCACATAATCGAACCCACCTGCTGGCCTGTGGAACAGGAGCCTTTCAGCCAATCTGTGCCCTCATTGCAGTGGGGCACCGTGGGGAGGTGAGCCTGGGGCTTCTGTGAGGAGCTGGGGGCAATGACATTTCCTCTGGTTGCCTGAACGCTTCCCATTGAGTCTTAAGGTCAAAGGCTTTTTGTAGGAGCACGGGGTGGGAGTAGGGGCTGAGGGGGTCCTGAAAGGCGCCTTTGTGCTGGGGGCACTGACCTTGCAGTGGGGGCTGGAATGAGGGCGCTGTCTGCTCCCCCACTCTGCAGCTGCACGTCATGGCTGAGACCCCGGAGGGTATGTGTTGGGGGTGGTGTGTCTTCCCAGGTGACATTTCTCCCTCCCTTCCCATCCCCAGCACGTGCTGCACCTAGAGGCTGGCACGGTGCAGAGCGGGCGAGGCCGGTGCCCGCACGAGCCCAGTCGGCCCTTTGCCAGCACCTTTGTAGGTGGGTGATACCCAGACCAGACTGGGGGGAGGGTGGGCGCTGGCATGTGTCCTCCTGACTGCTTCCCACCCCCGCTGCAGGAGAGGAGTTGTACACAGGCCTCATCGCTGACTTCCTGGGGCGCGAACCTATGATCTTCCGGAATGGTGGACCCCGGCCAGCCCTGCGTTCTGACTCTGACCAGAACGTCCTGCACGGTGAGCCCATGGGCCCACATTCACCCTCTGCTCTGGGATTCCAGCCCTTAAGCCCTTTTCTCCCTCTGCATTGTATTTAACCCCTGCCCTCCCCCCACAAAGCATCTCCCCAAGCTCATCTTGTCACTCTCCCAGACCCTCAGTTTGTGTCAGCCGTGCGGATCCCTGACAACTCCGACCACGACAATGACAAGGTGTACTTCTTCTTCTCGGAGACTATTCCTTCACCCGATGGTGGCCCAGGCCACGTCACCGTCAGCCGCGTGGGCCGAATCTGTGTGGTGAGAACTCAGGGGGCCACTGCACCCCTACCCCAGCCTGTCCACCTCCATGGCAGTAGGGAAGCTGAGAGTGGAGTGTGGAGCTCTGTCCCCACTTCTCTCCCATGGATGGGGGAGCGGGAGAGCACTGTGGTGCCCACAGCTGACTTTGTCCCCCACCCCCAGAATGATGCTGGCGGTCAGCGGGTGCTGGTGAACAAATGGAGCACTTTTCTAAAAGCCAGGCTGGTCTGCTCTGTGCCAGGCCCCGGTGGTGCTGAGACCCACTTCAACCAGCTGGGTAAGGGGAGGGCTGGCGTCTGGCTGGGTGCTGGATGCTCAGGACTGTGAGGGGCAATGACGGTGGCCGTGATATCCTCGCCTGTGTCTCCCAGAGGATGTGTTCCTCCTGTGGCCCAAGACGGGGAAGAATCCGGAGGTGTATGCGCTGTTCAGCACAGTCAGGTGGGCAGCCCTGTCACCCCTTTTGCTCCGCCACCCTGGTCCTGCTGTCGGACCTCAGTGACTATGTCCCAGTCTAGAGATGGACTTTGCCCTAACTTAGTGATTCTCTGACTATGTATTCTCTATGCCCTGTTCTTTGCCTGGGTATCCCCACTGACTGTGGCGTTGTCACCTCTGAGGTGACCACAGAACCAGGCCACTTCTTCCTGCCTCTGACTTATGTCTGTCTGTCCCTGGCAGCACTGTGTTCCAGGGCTTCGCCGTCTGCATGTACCACATGGCTGATATCTGGGAGGTCTTCAACGGACCCTTTGCCCACCGGGATGGTCCCCAGCACCAGTGGGGTCCCTACGGAGGCAAGGTGCCTTTTCCTCGCCCAGGCGTGGTGAGTATCTGCCAGGAGCCTGACCAGGGAATCAGAGGCTGAGCAGATGCTGGACAGACAGACACCTTGTTGGATCTACCCAGTATCCACACGAGCCAGGATCTGGATGCCCAGAGGTGGAGGGTAGAGGGCTCTGTGCCCCATTAAGGAGCCTCCCCTACCATGAGGGCATCTCCCTGGAGGTTGGAATTGGTGGACACAGGCCGGAGTGAAGACCTGTGACCCAAGATGCTTAGATGCGCCCTTGCCATGTCCTCAGTGCCCCAGCAAGCTGACGGCACCCCCAGGACGGCCCTTTGGCGGCACCAAGGACTATCCCGATGAGGTGCTGCAGTTTGTCCGGGCACATCCACTCATGTTCCAGCCTGTGAGGCCTCACCACGGCCGCCCCATCCTCGTCAAGACCCACCTGGCACAGCAGCTGCGGCAGATCGTGGTGGACCGTGTGGAGGCCGAGGACGGGGTCTATGACGTCATCTTCCTGGGCACCGGTGGGTGGGCTGGGCAGGGGTGGTCAGGGTGGTGAGGTGTGCAGCCAGGGTGCCCCTTCCTCTCTCTCTGACCCCTCTCCCCTGTGCAGACTCAGGTTCTGTTCTCAAAGTCATGGCCCTCCAGACAGTGGGCTCTGCCGAGCCTGAGGAGGTGGTGCTGGAGGAGCTGCAGGTGTTTAAGGTGAGCAGAGCCTCGAGAGAGGAGCCCCCTTACTCTGTCCCTAGATCCAGGCCTGGCTACAGGTATGTAGGCACGATGCTCAAGAGTGGTGAAGCCCTGTCTCTGATACACTTCTAGCTGGTGAGGTAAAAAGGCCAGCATTCACTGCTGCCGGCAGAGGCCTCAGGTGCTTCTCAATGACCCTCGAGCCTGAGCCAGAAGCCTGGGTGCTTAAAGTTGGGGTGCTGTAAAATGAGTGGGGGCAGCATGGGAACAACGTATCTGATCTCTCAATAGTCCCCCTCAGCAACAGTAAACCAATTCTCATGAGATCAGATGTGGCCTCTGCGCTCCTACACCTTTGTTGTTGTTGTGGACCATCGAGTGGGACTGACTCAGAGCTGACCCTCCAGCAGGTTGTCAGAGGCAGTTAATCACATGGGAGCAGATTGCTCATCTTTCCCCCGTGGAACAGCTGGTGGCCTTGAACCACAGATGCCTTCAGCATTGCTGTGTAGCCTCTTGCCACTAGGCCACCAGAGCTCCATGCTCTTGCACCTACTTCGAATTCCAACACCAGTTGTACTGCTCTCGTTGTTGTGTACTGTGGAGTTGTAACTGACCCATAGCTGACCCTCCAGCAGGTTTTCAGAGGCAGTGAATTGTACTGGAGAAGATTGCCCATCTTTTTCCCATGGAGCAGCTGGTGGCCTCGAACTTCAGAATTGCAACACAGCTTCTTGCCTCTAGGCCACCAGAGCTCAGTTTCATTGCTCTGCTACTGGGTCTGAACTCAGCTGCAATGACCACACAGATCTCACAGAACCATATTGATGACTAATGGGGTTTATTAGGGAAGTTAACAGGTTACATACAGTTCAGGTAGGCAACAGGATACAATTCCTCAGTCAGGACAACTTCTCCAATATGCCTCCAAGTCCTTTCGCCTTCACCCTATGACATAGGTCAGTGTTACAAAGTTCCCTTGTTCTTGCCAATTATGGCGTTTTCCCTTAGTCTTCCAGCAAGCTTGGGTGAAGCTTTCTGGCTGTGACTCCATGGGACAGCAGTCCCAAGTCAGCCCCATCTCATGTCAGCCTCTGATTCTCCATGGAGGCTTCTGCTCCTCTTGATAAGTTCAAGTCTCATCTGCTGCTAAACCTGCTAATTTAAACTCAGTGGGGTGAGAAAAAGAAACCAACCCTGTAATGATTTAGCTTATACACACCTTGCTTCAGGTTCCCATGCAGTCATGTGAAAGTCATGGCTTTTTGAGCACTAACTGATGTCCAGGGAGGAATGGCCAGGGCAAACTCGCTCAAGTCTCAGTGATTGGTGACTGAGTCACCCAGTCAATAAGGGTCCTGCTGCCTCTTATGCAGACATCAGGGGGAGAGGAATCTGCATTTGGGAGAGTATTGCCACCCAGTGCACAAGTGGGTGACTTGGAATGACTGTTCCATTGCTGGAGGATAGGGCTGAACCAGGGAACACCAGGGCTTTGCACTTTTAGCCAGATTGCCGGGATGAAGGATCTTTCTAGTAAACCCTATGCTTGGGATGACAGTTTGGCTCTAGTCACCGACTCATGACTGACCTAGGCCGAGAGATGGGGTAACTCACTAAAAGGGGTGGCAGAGACCCAGAGGTCGTGATGTGAGGTGTGGGGGCTGCACCCTCGCTGAGACCCTGTTACTTCTCCAGGTGCCAACACCCATCACTGAGATGGAGATCTCCGTGAAAAGGGTAAGAGAAGCAGCTGCCCCCTCCTCACCTTAGCCCCTTGCCTGCCACGCATATACCTTCCCAGGCTTGCCCTCTCCACATCCACATCCCTGACCCCTCCCCCTCCCTTTCCCCCTCCTCACCCACACTCCACTTCCCCGCCCCCTCCACCCTATCCCCTCCACACCCCTATCCCCTCTGCAACCTCACACACCTAGGCCCTGGGATGCCCCTCTTGGGCTCTGCAGTCAGGGTCCAGAGCCTGTGACGGAGCCAGAGGGCCATGGAGATAGGGTAGGTGAGGCAGGGGTGAGGCTGGGTTGGATGAGGGGAGCAGACCAGGCCAATCCCTCAGGAGGGGGGCAACCACGTGCTTGAAACAAAATCCACTTTTAAATCAAACTGGGAGGCTGGCTGTTTAGAGGTCTGCTTTGTGTTCTTTTATAGAGACAAGTACTACTTCCCCAAGTTCATCTTTAAGAAGTTCTAAACTTTTGCATAATAATTGCTTAGAGCAGCCTGCACTTATGAAACCAGAGGCAGGCCAGGAGAGAGGTCATGGGGCAGGGGACAAAGGTCACCTCTCTGTTGAGGCAAGGATGGTCGTGGGGAGGACCTGGGGAAGCCCCTTAGGGGACATCCTCTCAAAACATGGCAGTTAGGTGACAAACGTTTGTTGGCTCTATGAATGCTGCGAGCAGCAGGGTCCCCAGAGACTGGAGGGGATGGACACCTGCTGCCTGTGGGTGAGCTGCGCCGTGTCTCCACCAGCAAATGCTCTACGTGGGCTCCAAGCTGGGTGTGGCCCAGCTGCGGCTGCACCAGTGTGAGACCTACGGCAGTGCCTGCGCCGAGTGCTGCCTGGCCCGAGACCCCTACTGCGCCTGGGACGGCGGCTCCTGCACCCGCTACCGGCCTGGCACCAGCAAGCGTCGGTTCCGCCGGCAGGACATTCGGCACGGTAACCCTGCCCTGCAGTGCCCGGGCCAGGGCCTGGAAGGTGAGTGGGGGGGCCTCACTCACTGGTAGGGGGTCTCAAGGAAGAGGAAGATGGGCACTGGCATCTGGGACTCATCAACTATGAAGTGTGATCTTGTGACAAGTGGTGCTCACGTGTCCCTCTCTGTGCTGCTGCTGTCAGTGCACGAGTGATGGGTCTTGTGAGAGTGGTGAGCTTAGTGGATGGACGCCAATGTCTCCATCGTGCTAGTGGGGCTTCCTGAGCTGTGAGAGATGTTGTTTGTGGCCCCCAGGACCTGTGTCCTGTGGGTCCCCAGCTGAGCCAGCCAATCCCCCTTTCTCCAGAAGATACTGCGAGGCACATGGTGGCCACCAGGGTCTACGGCACAGAGAACAACAGCACCTTCTTGGAGTGCCAACCCAAGTCTCCCCAGGCTACCATGCGCTGGTTCCTGCAGAAGCTGGGGGACCAGAGCCCGGACCAGGTAAGCAAGGGCCCTGCCTCTAGCCCACATGTCTCTGGGGGGCTCACTCCTGAGACCCCCACACCCTGAGCCGAACCAGAGGACTCTTGAGAGGACCTGCTGAACTCAGCCAAAGGAAGGATACATTAGGTCTCTGCGGTGCCTTGAAGGAGATGTCCTTGTTCCTACCATCTGAGAGTTCCCAGGCCAGATGTTTGCCTCCATGACATGGAGCTCACTACTTCCCCAAGGTGCAGAGCTGAGCTCTGAGGAATGAGTTGTCTTAGCACCAGTGGAGGAGACCTAAGTGGGTCTGAGCTGGTCGGGGAACCCACCTCGCATGCATATTATATACATGGCTCATTAATAAAGGGGTCTTGATCCTCCTCTGTCCCAGGATTGAGCCACTGGCCATTAGCCCTAGTCCCTTTGCCACTTCCCTAATGCACGCACACACACACGCTCACTTGATCTCTCTGTCTCTGTCTCTCTCTCTCTCACACACACACACACACACCCTCCAGTGCCTGGTTGCACATTTCCTCCCTGGAGTCCAGCTGTCTGCCCAGACTCCCTCCTCCCCCATCCGGAAAGATCTGTCAACTCCAGAGATGGCTTCAGCCTGGGGCTTGAGGACCAGAATGCGGGGGGGGGGGGGGGGGGGGGCTGGGTGTGTGTGTTTGAGGAGCCATTCTAGAGCCGCTCCCATGAGCAGGGTGGAGAGGGAGTGGGCTGGCTGGGGGGGCTCCTCTTCCAGCTTGGGAACTGGGGGAGGCCAGCCTTGGGCCAGCTGTTGGGCTGGGCAAAGAGGTCCCCCAGGGAAGCAGCAGTGAGATGGAGTTACACCACACGCACCGCCCAGGCAGCGCAGCCCGAAGCTCACGGGTGCCAGGACTAAAGTCCACGGAGGCTCCTTGCCGGAGACAGGCCCATGACAACCCCATTCCCACCTCCCACACTGTGATGGGCTCTCAGCCCATCCCTGGGGCAGCGCCAAAGTCCTACAGCACCAGGGGGTGAACTGTGCAGACAAAGACATGAGCAGGCTGTGTGGTGTTGGAGGGACGTTGTAAGGAAGGCCTGCCCCTCAGGGTAAAGTCCACAGATACTCCTTTTGCTCCAGAAGTGTGGGCCAGGTCTTAAGACAAAGATAGAAGCCCCCAGAGCTGTGATTAAGTTGTGGTTAACTTGTCAGTTAAACCTTTGAAATGCGTCTATTTCTGATCTCTGTCCTGGGTTATGGAAGAAGGCATCCCTGTGTACAGTTAGCTCACTGTCGAGAGGGGCCACAGGAAACAGTCTCTCTTTTTTCTTTTCCATTGCTTTGCTCACAAAGTTCATATACGTTGTATCTCACACCATTCCTCATTCATATTGTGCTTCATACAATCATTTTCATGCATTATGTTTGTTTGTTTTTAGTTTTAATGGACTTTTAAAATTTTTTTTATTTTATTCATTTTGATGAACATTTACAGAGATTTTGGATTTCCATTCATTAATTTTTGCACTTTTCTCCCTGCCCAGCCCTCCCCCCTCCCCAATTCACTCCTCTCTGAAAAGTAAAAGAAAAATTCTTTCTTTGATATACAATCCCCCCCTGCACCCCTCCCAACGCCCCGAGTACACTCTACTCTGCAACCTTAATTCTGGACTCTTGTGATAACCATAATACCCTGTCATAAGTCGCTTTTATTCTCTCTCTCATCTGTTTCAATGCTGTATACATAATTTATCCAGTTTTTCTCAGTCTTACCCCAACCCTGATGTCAATCCCATTCTACAAAGTGGCACCATGCAGTATTTGTCCTTTTGTGACTGATATATTTCACTCAGCATAATGTCCTCTGGGGTCACCCATTTTGAATAATATTGCATTAGTTCCTTGTTTTTCAGTGCAGCGTAGTATTCCATTGTGTGAATATACCACAGCTTCTCTATCCATTCGTTTGTTGTTGGGCACCTGGGTTGTTTCCAGATCCTTGCTATTGTGAACAAAGCTGCAATAAACATGGGTGTGCATATATCTGCTTGGATGTCAGTTATGGTCTCTTTAGGGTGTATTCCCAGTATTGGAATTGCTGGGTCAAATGGTATCTCTATTTGCAACTTTTTGAGAAAGCGCCACACCACTTTACACAGTGGTTGCACCATTTTACACTCCCACCAACAGCATTATGTTTTATAAACTTAATCACAATTGGACCTGGCCCACCACTGTTGTTGTTATGTGCCGTCGAGTTGCCTGCGACTCATAGCGACTATATGTACAACAGCCTTAAAACCTGCCTTAAAACCTGTGCCAACTGCACTGTCTCTAACACACTCACCCCCCCCATTATCCCAGTCATCGAAGGTCTTCTTCTCCTGCGCTGTCCCTCCACCTTCCCAAGTATGACGTCCCTCTCCAAGGACTGGCCTCTCCTTACAACATGTCCAAAGACAAAGCTTCAGAATCCTTGCCTCCAAGGAGCAGCCTGGTTTCACCCTCTCTAAGACAAACCTGTTCATTCTCTTAGCACTACCCCTGTCTTCATCTGGATTCTTCCCATTTCCTTCCCCCCTCCCCCACACCAAACTGTGAAACCCTGTGGTTTTCCCCCTACCCATCCTCACCTCTTCACTCCCACTTCTTACCCCCTTGGGTTCCTGTACATATTTTACTAGTTACCATCTTGTTTTCAATCATAGTCTTGTGCAGTATTTGTCCTTATGAGACTGAGTTAGGTCACTCAGCATAATGCTCTCCAGTCTCTTTCAAGTTATGTAGTATTTTTCGAAGTCATTGCTCCTGAGTGCTGTATTCCACTGTGTGAATGTACCACAATTTCTCAATCCATTCAGGTGCGGTTGGACATTTGGGATGGGAAACAGAGTCTTAGGAGGGGAGAGTGGGTGAGGGGACAGACTCAAGGCCCTAAGGTTGGAAAACTTGGAAAGGCCGGGGGCAGAGAGGGATGTGGGCGCCCACTCTCACTCCCTCACGCCCTCTGCCCTGCAGGTGAAGACAGATGAGAGAGTTGTGCAGACGGAACAGGGGCTGCTCTTCCGCCGGCTCAGCCGCCATGACGCGGGCACCTACTCCTGCACCACGCTGGAGCATGGCTTCTCCCAGACAGTCGTCCGCCTGGCCCTGGAAGTGATCTCAGCCGCGCAGCTGGACAACCTGTTTCCACGGGAGCCCCCAACTCGGGCTGGCCTGGCCTCCACCCCACCCAAGGCCTGGTACAAGGATTTTCTGCAGCTCATTGGCTTTGCCAACTTGCCCCGGGTGGATGAGTACTGTGAGCGTGTGTGGTGCCGGGGTGCTGGGGAGCGCTCGGGGACCTCCCGCCGGGGCAAGTCAAGCAAGGGCAAGAGCTGGGCAGGGCTGGAGCTGGGCAAGAAGGTCAAGAGCTGGGCACAGGCCGAGCGCAACAGGACACCCCGGGAAGTGGAGGCCACGTAGAGGAGGGCAGGGGGGTGGCCGGGGGCAGGGACAGAAGCAGCTCCCAGCATCTCTCACCCATCCAGTTGGGGCAGGAGGGCCAGGAACCCTGACTGCCTCTTAACAATCAGAGTCTCTGCCTCATACCCCTATCAGCTGCAGACAGAAAAATTGAGGGTGAGGGTGGGCCCAGTGTTGAAGGTTTATTCCCTGTGGTCTCCATCCCAGGCCGAGCCAGCACCCCCTGGCCGCTGGCAGTTTTGAAGTGCCTGCCATTTGTTCTCGGAGGTGGCCTGGCTTCCGGAGCACATTTCCGGTTGTGCCCAGAAGAGGGAGGGCTGGGTGGTTCTTTCCCAGCTTGGAGAACAATGGCCATTCTGAGTGACCCTTGGAGTGGGTGAGGAGGCATGTCTGAGGAGGGGTCTGGGCAAGGGCCCGCAGGCAGCTGGAAGAGGCTAGAAGTGGTCTTCCAGCCAGTACCTGTTAAGAAGGGTCTGACTGAGGAGAAGGGCGACTAGGGAGATAAAGTTGACAGAGGAGGAGAAGTGAATCCCTTCCTTTTAGGCCTGATACCTCGGAGGCCCCCTGCTACTGCCGACCACCATTTTCTGTCTCAGAATCACAGAAATATTGACTTCCTAGGACCTGTGGGTATTTGTTCTGGACCTCAGACTCTACCTCCTAAACCAGTGGAGTGGTCTTAGAGCCTGCCTGCCTTCCGCAGGCCCACACCTTCCTGGCCAGGTTCCTGAGAGGCCTCCACCTCTTTTGACCCAGCAGCGTCTCCCCTGGTCCCCTACATACGATGCGCAAGGGAATATTGGTTCTGAGACACTGTGATCCCCACCTCCCGGAACTAGACTGCAGCTAGACGATGGGAGCACCTGGGGAAGGTGTGCACCTGAAGGCAGGCGCGATGCAGCCCATCTTAGTGCTGGGGGGCAAGGACTTTGTCCATTGCCACAGAGGACTGGGAGGCCCTTGAGGTGGGGACAAGGTGAAGAACCTCAGGAGGGGCTAGAGGCCCCAAGAGGTGGTTTCCTTGGCACCCAAGATCACCCCCGTTAGCTCCAGAGTCTCTGGGAGGTCAGACGTTTGCTGCCCCCAAAATTCCTAAATAAGGGTCCATCACGAATGATTCATTTGTGAAGACTTTTCCCTTTTAAACAAAAGGGGGGGAAATGCAGGGAAAAAGCTGCTAAGGACGCCACGTCCTGCTGGCCACTGGTGGCTGGAGGCGGTTGGAGGTGTGTGGGGTCACATCTGGGCAAGGAGGGAGGTGTTGTTGCCAACAATTTGTCCTGAAACTGCAGGGCTGGGAGCAACGGAGGAGAAGGACAAAATGAAATGTTGTCCCTGTCTGTGTGAACGAGTTAGTGACACAAATTCACAAGAGGGATACCAGGGCAGGGCGTTTAAGATTCCCTCTGTGGGGGAGAAACACCAAGGTGAAGAGAGGAAGGGAAAGGATTTTTAAAAAACAAGACAGGGCTTCCTGCCTCACTGGAATGCAAACCCAGACTGCTTGTGCCTTGGGTTTTACCGCCCCCAACACACCCCCTCAGGGTCTGAAATAGCCCCCTTCTGTATCTTTAACTATGTTGCTCTTTCAGGGTGTAACTCAGCGACCCCATGTGACAGAGTCAAACTGCCTCGCAGGATTTTCCAGGCTTAATTCTTACGGAAGGAGCTCAGGTGGTATAGTGTGTAGCGTGTTGTGTTGCTAGTCAAAAGGTCAGCGGTTTGAATCCACCTTCCACTCTGCAGGAGAAAGATAGACACTCTGCTGTGAAGAGTTATAATCTCAGAAATATGGGGCTTTTATGAGTCAGGACAGATGACGGCAGTGAATTTGGCTTTGGGTCCCACCCCTTCACCATCCCCCAGTCTTTATGGAAATAGATCTCCAGGTCTTTCTCCTATAGTCTTTGATGGGTTAGAACCGCTGACCTCTTGCTTCACCAGAGCTCCTCCTTTTTAATCAAAGGTGATCAGAAGCACTGAGGATAACCTGGCAACCCTTTAGATTCCTTCCTACCTGGGCTGCTATCATCTGCTGGGAAAAGGTGAAAGCAGACAAGAAAAATGAGTGAGCTGGAAAAAAAGGACAGAGGGGATAGTCAGAGAAGGGGGAAGACGTGGCTGGAAGAGCCAGTTCTGTCCCGTGACCTTGAGGAAGAGAGAAAGACATGCCCAGATTTTCATGAGCTTTAGACTCGGGCCTGGCAGGCTCCAAGCAGGGTCCTCTGGGAGAATTATCCTGGAAAATTGAGGGGGAAGGGAAACAGGACCCTCAAAGATGACCATCTGCACTTGGAAACATCCCATCTTTCCATGGTACTGCGGGCGAGAGAATGAATCCTGGAGATGCTCCGTATGTGAAGATATGTGAATTCTATTTTTGTATTTCTGTGCTGAGATGAACCTTGTGGTTTCTCTGTCTTTAGACAAACACATGTAATTACTATTGTTATTTTTGTTCTGTCTTCAGCAAACACATGTGATTACTATTGTTCTTTTTATTGTCATGACCACACCCGTTTTCCCCTGGTGAAGGAAACACACAAGTCTCCCATGCAGAACCTACGTGGAAAGGGACCCAGTTAATATTACACAAACATAATTATATTGTTACCGTATATCTGTGTATTTTGTGCTAAATTGACCATTGCGATTTTCATGAGCTGAAAAGACCCCTCACAGCCGTCCAGCCTGGGAGGGAGTAGGCCACCTGCATAGTATTTTCTAGGGAAGGAAGTGGGTATCAGGGAAGGGGGGGAGTCAGGGGGCTTTGTCTGTGAAGCTGAGATCGCTCATAAGGAAAAACTCTGCCCTGTGGGCCTATGAAACTGACATTCTTGGAAATTGAAGGGGATCTTGAACCAGGAAAAAAAAAATTAAATACTGGCAAAGGGCAGCCGAGCACGTAGGCAGCTCTGCTCCTTTTTCTCAGTAACAACACTCATCATTTGTAATAGCAACACTTGGCCTGGCGCCTGCAGTCCTCCCAAACTACATACCAACATATATTAAAGTCATTGTGCTCATACCGGGGGGGGGGGGGGCCTTGCCTGCTGTGGAGGCTGCAGCTTCTGAGGAGGAGGGGAGGCCTCAGAGTCTAGCCTGTGGGCACGCTGCTTCACCATCCCTCACCCCCATCACACTGAGTCGAATCCTGGCAGCACTCACTAGGGTCGAAAGGGCCAAGTGCATGTGGCTGGCCTCCTACTCATCCTCCTTCTGGCCTTAGTGCACCCCTCACCCTCATCAAATCTACACAGCCTCTTCCCTAGTGCCCTGCCTCCAACCCACCCTCTTCTCTGGGCGCCTCCTCTTGTCTTGAGCCTTATTTCCAGCCTCAGAGCTTTAACCCTCCTCTTATCTTCTCTTAGGCTTTCCCTCCCTAGTCCTTATTTCCCCCTCTGCTCCTCTGTGTGATTTACCACCTCAGAAACCCAAGACAGTGAGGTGAGGTGAAACTTCTGGACTTGGGATTTACCAGACCCTTTCAGAGTTTGCGAAAGGGGCCAGCAGAGAGAGCATTTCCTGAAATGGCCTCCTTTGGAATAAATATCCATTTATTTGAGCTCATTCAGTACAGTGGTCAAGGACATTTGAGGCTTTTTGCTCCTGTGGCCCCATGGATCTGGATACTGCCTGTCTGTCTGTCTGTCCCCTGGAAGCCAAAGATGGCCTCCTGTGTCACTACTACATGCTCCACACGTCCCCTGGAACATTTGGTCCCCAGGCCCTTTTCCTCCCACAGAACAGCTACTAACATCATATGTCTTGAGGATACTCTGGAAAGATACTGATCAGGATAATCCCCTCCCTTTGAACGTGTAATTAATTGAATTTATTAGTCTCTGCTGTCTAAGCCTGCAGACTCTGGCAGTCCTTCCTCCCAGATGGAGCAGCCCATATTGGTTCCCCATTGCCATGCCAGAGCAGGACCTGACCCTCCAGTGCCAGCATTGCTAGGGTGACCCATGAGCCTGGACTCTGACCCTGCCCTTGATTGCTGTCTTCCCATGCCCAGCCTGTCTGCCTACGTCTTTTGACCCTTCTTTCATCTGGCTTGATCGTTCATGAATGGCTGGGTCTCCCCTGAGCCAAACCAAACACACACACACACACACACACACACACACACACCCCTAAACCCACTGCCATTAAATTTATTCCAACCACTAATAAACCTCTATTGGATTTCAGAGGCTATAATTCTTTATGGGAGAAGTTGGTATAGCTTTCTTCCAAGGAGCACGTGGTAGATAAGAACTTCCAACTTTCTGGTTAAAAGCCCAACACATTATGCATTGAAAAATACCACCAGTTGCCCCTGCAAACCCTTGGTTTGAAGAATGGGTAGGAGCAGCCATCAGAAGCCTGGCCTGCCACAGTCAGGCCTCCCCTCCAGGGCCTGGAAGGGGCTCTAACTGTAGCTCCTGCTGGGGAAACCCTGGAGGACCCACACCCACGCCTCTGCCAGTCACGTGAGCCTCTTCTGGCTGGCCACATCTTCCCAGAAGTTAGGAGCAGTTTGCTCAAAAATAATCCAATTTCCATCCAAGTTGACAGTCTGCCCCAGCTCCACCTAAAAATCCTGGGCCACCAGGACTTGCAGAGGAGGAAGTTCAACCCCAGATCCCCAGGGTGTTCCACCATTTGGCCCTGCTGGGGAGGGTGGACGGTGGAGGGTGTGTGCAGCTTGCTTGGATCCTGTGCCCGATAAGGAGCTCTAGGATTTGGGGCCTCCACCCTGGTTCCTCTTCCGGACTTGCCCGCCCTTCTGGTGCCCAGGCGATGGGGTGAGGCCATGTAGACCTGGTGCCCACATCCCCCTGCCCGGCCTCTGCTGCCCTGACCACAGCCACCATGGTTGGACCTTAGAGGCTGCATGTATCTTAATGAAGACTTTCACTTTCTCTGCTGGACTTTAATGAAGGAAACTTCTGGTTCCTTGATGCAGCCTTTTACAAATAATTTTCCACTGAGGATGGGAGGTGCAGCAAAGTCTC